ACAACAAATTTTGAAGGAAAGCAGACATTGTCTGTGATTTTTTCTGCTTTTTAAAAACCCCTAGTTTTTGATCCAAAAAAGTTTTGATGGAAAATATTTGTCCAACCCTTTTAATGAGCTTTAGTGCCTTTTAGCACTAGCTAATGCTGAGAACCAGTGATACCTTGTAAAGGTGACTTGAAAAGAAGTTTTCTCAAAACAGGGTTTGTGCCGAGATGCAGAAGGTTTTTAAATGTTTATTTTCCCCAGGGCTGCTGGGGAGAGGGGGGCAAGTGAGGCAATTTGCCCCGGGCCCCGCAGGGGCCCCCATGAGAATATAGTATTCTATAGTATTGCAACTTTTTTTTATGGAAGGGGTCCCTGAAATTGCTTTGCCCCAGGCCCCCTGAATCCTCTGGGTGGCCCTGAATTTTACCAGGTGTCCCATATTCAGGATAGGGAAATATGGTCACCCTGCCTCAAACCCAGTTCACATTGGGTCAGACAGAGGGACTTAGGCCCCCCAGAGGGGCAGGGCCCCATTGGATGCTGGCTGACATGGGGGGGATAGGAAGAGAAGCACAGACCTCCCTGCAGGGACAGGGTCTCCCCGGTCCTGCTTTACTCACAGGGGTTCAGAAAGAGAGGCCAGACCCCTCCCCCAGAGAGGAGTAAAGACTCCCAAATCACTCAAAAGGGAAAGGAAGAAGGGTTTGGACCCCCATAGGGGCAGGGCCCTCCAGATCCCAACTCACACATGGAGGACCCCAGCTCTCCTTAGGTTTCAGGATTATTGCTGCCCTATTCTCCCACACCCTTGGTGTGTGGGATGTCCCCCAGCCCTTGGCCATTGCCCGGAGGGATGGGAGGCATCTCCACCTATTCCCCAACCACTTAGCCTGGGTAGGATGAAGAGAGTGGGGGAGAAGCAGGAGGGGCTGTGGTGGTGGCTTCAAAGAGGAGGGGGGAATGTGGGGTTGACAGGCCGCCACTTCTCCTGTCACCCATTTTCATGTCCCCCACCCCTACTGCCCATCCCCACTTATACTGCCTCAATTTGGGGAAGATCAGACCCATAGTTTGAGCCCCAAGTGTGGGCAAGAAAGAAGAACCAAGTAATTGTGTAAATAGTTTTTTTAGGGGGGGCTGTATCTTGGGAATCTGTGGCTCAAATTACCCCAAATTTGGACCCGTAACCCTATCCCATATTCCCGTAAGGTACGGGAAATTTCAAGACAATCTGAGATAGCAATTGGATTTTAGAGCACTTAGAATTGTTATCTTTTAAACAGTGATTCAACCTTAACTATAGCAAAGCTGCTGGTTCACACTATCAGAGCTGCCAGTCCACTAAAAATAATAAAAACATAGTTTTGAAATTAGAAAAGGATATTGTCCTTTGTTATTGTCTAGTGTTAGACTTCTTCCTTCCTGAGAGCACAGTGACATACAGCACTGTGGCAATATGACATAAAGAGAAACGCACAACATGTGTAGTCCTGGAACAATTGCATCTTGTTCCAGCATGGCCCTTCCTGTCTCTTGTTTGAGAAGGCTATGGGTTGACTAGAATTAGGGCAGACGTCTTCCACCTTGCCTTTCCCTTTTGACTGTGGTTTTCTGGCATGAGTTTATGAACAAATGACAGCAGAATTAGGCCATTAGAAGGGAATTGCTTTCTAAAATATAACTGTCTTCAGTGCATGATGCCTGCTAATATTAATACAACTAACACAATTACTGGAAAGCTCTGTACATTTAGGATGACCAGATAGCGACTGTGAAAAAATGGGATGGGGGGGGGGGGATAATAGGCACCTATCTAAGAAAAAGTCCCCAAAAATGGGACTGTCCCTATAAAAACAGGACATCTGGTCACCCTATGTACATCACATTTGATAAAACTAATACATCTAAAAACCTGATGTGTATATAAAATGTGGTTATTTCTGTAATCTGCTCTGACTTTACTTTTCATTTGTTCCCTTTTGTAATAACAAACAGATTAGCAACATTTCCATCCAGGGGCAGGACTTTGGAGAGTCTATCTTTGAGCCCGGCATGACTTTTGCTCTTGCACGCTTTGATGGCGTGCTAGGTTTAGGATACCCTTCTTTAGCAGTTGGCAGTGCTCTTCCAGTATTTGACAGCATAATCAACCAACATCTGGTAGAGGAGCCAGTGTTTTCCTTCCACTTGAACAGGTCAGTTTTTAACACTGAATAAAGGGACACTGTCAAAAGAAGCAAATTTTAACTGTAGATTAAGAAACCATCCATTTGTATGTGTTTCATCTCCAGAAAGGACATTTTCAAGAGTAGGTCTAGACAGAAGCACCAGTGGGGAACATAGTAACTAAAATCATATTTACAGAAATGCTATTAAACTTATATCTTTAAAATAAACACTTGTAGATGCACTGTATAATACACAATTAATGTGCAAACCACTGAGAACTCCAATGAAGTCTCTTGATCTATTAATCTGATGAATGGTCTACATTTGAAATTTTTTTAAATGAAAAATGGACTTTTTAAAAAAATAAGATGCCAAAGGAAACTTTTCATTGTTTTGAAAATTTCCAATTATTGGATCATTATTTTTTTTTAAATCCACTTTTTTTGTTTGAAACAACAACAACAACAAAGTCAGTTTAGTATTTTAGGCTGTTTTTTCATTTTTACACCTCTCCCTTTCCTTTTTTGCATTTTGTCACTGAAAAGGCATGTGAAAAGAAAAAGGAGGAAAAAGAAAAAAACGAATCTATTTTGTTGAATCAGAAAATTTAGAAAATGTTTACAAAGCATATTTACCAGCTTTTGACCAGTGCTAATAAGAACAGTTACATCTGACTTTCTTAGGCTAGGTCTACACTACAGCGGGGGTCCGACCTAAGATACGCAACTTCAGCTACGTGAATACCGTAGCTGAAGTTGCGTATTTTAGGTCGACTTACCTGGCTGTGAGGACGGGGGAAAGTCGACCGCTGCCGCGCTGCCGTCGATTCCGCTGCCGCCTCTTGCCGCGGTGGATTTCCGGAGTCGACGGCAGAGCGATCAGGGATCGATTTTATCGCGTCTTCACTAGACGCGATAAGTCGATCCCAGAAAACCGATTGCCTGCCGCCGGACCCTCCGGTAAGTGTAGACAAGCCCTTACAGTGTCTTGGGCACTCAGAGAGTTGTTTCGTCAGCTAGTAGGAGATGAACAGAATGGCGGTGCTGAAGTCGAGCGACAGTATTTCAGAAGAAAAGGGGCCATGTTCTAATCCCAGTCACACCTAGAGTAACTCCATTTCAATCACTAGATTTACCCTGGATTTATTCTGGGGTAAACGAGACCAAAAACTGGCCTAAGGCACTTGTTTCTAATCTCACTTCTAAACCCTCTACAACCCCTAACGTTTTTAGTAAGGGGTTTAGACTGGAGGCTCTGATTTGGCGCCATCTCTAAGTATAATTATAAAATTAGAAGTTTTAGACTTCCATTGCAACATACACATTTGAAAAAGACATGAAAGGGTTGAAATTGAAAGCTGATTTTTCCTCCCTACTCCCATGTCCCACTTAAATTTTATGTCATCCAGTTTACATATTTATTTGTTTTACATTTTTAGAGGAGAAGACATTGAAAATGGTGGTGAATTGATACTCGGGGGTATAGACCATTCCCTTTACAAAGGTTCAATTCACTGGGTTCCAGTTACTGAGAAAAGCTACTGGCAAATTCATGTTAACAAGTATGTATGCATGTCTATAAATCTGATGATGATAAATCTGTGCCTCTCTGTGTAAGCAAATTAAAATCCCAGGACATCTGTGCTACAGTAGCCACCCTGGATGTACTGCCTCCCCAAAACAGTGCTTCTGGGAAAGATCTGAAGATAATTAGTGTATCCCCTGCTGCAATAATATTTCTGGAAGCACTAACTTTGGTGGCTGGTACTTGGAGGAGTGTCCTTTATTAGCAGGTCACATTAAGGGCCTAGTGGACATCCGTGGGAATTGTGGGAATCCTTACTGTCCTGAGTAAAGGATATTCATGTGATCTGGAGGCACTGAGTTCAATTCCTGCTTGCCACAGCCTTCCTGTGTGACAGCGGTCTAGTCACTTAGGCCATGTCTACACGAGAGAGTTTACAGTGGCACAGCTGTACTATGCACCTTGGCTACAGTAAAATCTCTTGTGTAGCTGCTCTGTGCCGACGGAATTACTCCTCCCACAACGAGCGGGAGAAGCTCTCCCACAAACATAGCGCTTTCCACACCGGCACTTATGTTGGTGTAACTTATGTCGCTCGGTGGGAGGGGGTGTTTTTTCACACCCCTGAGCGGCGCAAGTTATACTGATATAAGTGGTAGTGTAGACATGGCCTTAGCCTTGCCATGCCTCAGTTCCTACTATTTAAAATGATTGTAATAATAATAGTGCCCAACCTTGAATACATTCATTGATGTTTGTGAGATGCTCAGAGTATATATTGGTTGGGGTCAGATCAGTGTTAGACCTTAACCTCCTACATGTTCAGAAGAGCAGATGAGACACACACACAAATTATTTCCAAAGCTCTCTTGCCCTAGTTTTCTGTGAACACTATCCTTCTTTTGGAATCAGGACAGCTCTAAAGTCAGTATAAATTTTGAACTAGATGCTTGTATTTTAACTGGCAGCATAGCCTTGCTTAAATTCCCTGCTAATTGTGTCATCACTCTTCATGTATCTGCACTCTCTGTTTAAAGTGTATGTGTTTTGTTTTTTCCACATGCAGCATAAAAATCCAGGGACAGGTTGCGCTTTGCTTCCATGGTTGTGAAGCCATTGTTGATTCAGGCACTTCTCTTATTACCGGCCCTTCTTTACAAATAAGACAACTACAGGAGCATATCGGGGCCAGTCCAACACAAACTGGAGAGGTAAAAACCATAGAGCGGGACAAAAAACTCAGAGGAAGTGAAGTAATGATTTGATACAAATGCTGATGTGAGGGGGGAAGGGAAAGAGATAAAATGATTAAAATTAGGCACAAAGTAGGGACTAGGAGAAAAGCTTGCTGCCTGCACAGAGCTGAAAGCAGGGGAACATATTAGATTTATATTGTTTTCATCCTTTCCTGCCACCTCTGTTTCCAAGATATCTCTTCCCTCATTAAAGGGGACATGATAGCAGTTTTCAGGTATTTAAAAGGGTATCATAAGGAGGAGGGAGAAAACTTGTTCACCTTAGCCTCTAAGGATAGAACAAGAAGCAGTGGGTTTAAACTGCAGCAAGGGAGGTCTAGGTTGGACATTAGGAAAAAGTTCCTAACTGTCAGGGTGGTTAAACACTGGAATAAATTGCCTAGGGAGGTTGTGGAATCTCCATCTCTGGAGATATTTAAGAGTAGGTTAGATAAATGTCTATCAGGGATGGTCTAGACAGTATTTGGTCCTGCCATGCGGGCAGGGGACTGGACTCGATGACCTCTCGAGGTCCCTTCCAGTCCTAGAATCTATGAATCTATGAATAATGACACATGTGGATCTAGTAGAAGCATCTGTTTAAGGAAATGTTCTGTTAAAGTTGCTCAGATGATCATGACATCATATGACAGATCTACTACACCTCTACCCCGATATAACGTGACCCGATATAACACGAATTCGGATATAATGCGGTAAAGCAGTGCTCCGGGGGGGGGGCGGGGCTGCACACTCCGGTGGATCAAAGCAAGTTCGGAATAACGCGGTTTCACCTATAACACGGTAAGATTTTTTGGCTCCCGAGGTCAGCGTTATATCGGGGTCGAGGTGTACCTTGTAAAACAAGAGAAAATTACCTTTCCTACATCATATGGCGTGACTGTTAACTCCTTAAAGTCCAGAGCAGTTCCAGGCTGACTGTCAGTCAGAATCCGGAAATTAAGATAAAAAGATACCGGAATGACAGACATGTAATAATTCCATCAGAGGGCACGGGTGTCAGCTGAGCTTCTGAGAGCTAACATTCTTGTTACCAGAACCCCTAGAGGGGGACACAGTTCTATCATTCAAAATATTCTGGTTCATTTGAATGTAACATATAGATCTGAGAGCCAGATCTGTCCCAATCCCTGTCTTCCATCCCCCGGCTCTCCATCTTCTGCACAGTCCCATTCCCTGTTACCTCTCTCATTCCCCCCTCTCTTCCCTGTTCTACCCCTCCTCCCACTTTCTTCTTCCCCTCCATTTTCCCTTTTATCCTCCCTGCTGCTGCATCTTCACCTTCTACAGCATCCTGCTGCCATCTCCTCCATGCTCCGAGTCTCCTTTCCTCTCAATCTCTTTCTACCTGCTCCCTGCCACCCCCAGATTTCCGATGCTGCTCAGTCTCTCATATCTCCCTGCGTCTGTTCCACTCCCCACTCTGCCACTCCCTCCCAACTGCTGCCACTCTCATCCTCTGATGCTTTCTAGGGTTGCCAACTTTCCATTTCTGGAAACTGGACACTCCTGTTCCGCCCCCTCCCCAGAGGCCTGCCCCCTGCTCCACCCTCTCCCCCAAGGTCCCTCCCTCTGCTCACTCCTCTCCTCCGCAGCCCTGCACTCAGCCCAGGGAGCGCCGTACTCTCCCCACCTCACCAGTCACCTGCGGAGGAGGGAGGCTCCCTCCTTCTGCTGCACCTGCCCCCCGGCACATTCGGCCCCTGTCCCCAGTAGCCGGGCCTGGGCAGGGGGTGTCCTGCTGCCTCCCACAGCCAGGCTGTCTCTGAGGCAGCCCAGCTGCTGCGCTGAGTGGCTGGGCTCTCACACCAACCCACAGCAGAACAGCTGGCAGGAGAAGTGGATGGTCCTGCCTCTTCTGCTCCCTGGCACGTTTCCAGCTCACACAGCCTCTGACCCTGGCAGCCAGGTCCAGGCGGGGAATGGAAGGGCCGGGACCACCTACTTCTTCCGCCGGCCACTCCGCTCTGGGTCGGCGTGAGAGGCCAGCCAGTGCGGTAGCTGCCTGCCAGAGACAGAGCCTGACTGTGAGAGGTGGTGGCGGCGGCAGTGGGTAAAGGACAGAGCCCCTCTCCCCACCCTGGTGGGCCAATTTTTCTTGGGGGGGGCACTTGCCCGCGAATGTCCCCCCTATGCATTGCCCCTACCCCTGCCCCTGCAGGCAGCAACCAGACTTTTGATGTCCGGTCAGTGTTTCCAACCAGGTACTTTCAGATGGTGTTTTGGACTGGACTTTCCAGTCAAAGGGCTGGTCCACACTAACCCCCCACTTCGAACTAAGATACACAACTTCAGCTACGTGAATAACGTAGCTGAAGTCGAAGTATCTTAGTTCGAACTTACCGCGGGTCCACACGCGGCAGGCAGGCTCCCCCGTCGACTCCGCGCACTCCTCTCGCGGAGCAGGAGTACCCGCGCCGACGGCGAGCACTTCCGGGATCGATCCAGGATCGATTTATCGCGTCTAGACAAGATGCGATAAATCAATCCCAGAAGATCGATTGCTTACCGCCGGACCTGGAGGTAAGTATAGACGTACCCAGAAACTGGACACGTGGCAACCCTAATGCTTTCCCTCATATGTTTACTCAGGGAGCAGCTTCACCATCTCCTTCACCTCTCCTTTGATGTCCAAACAGCTTTGCTTCTTCACTTCATGGCTTGCCAGTCTGCCTGCTCGCAACTATATTGATTCCTATATGCATTTAAATGGTAGTCCCACATAGTCTGGGAGCATGTGTAATTTCATGGGCAAATTAATGATAGAAAGGTAAGGGAGATGTCATTTGATTCATAAAAATCTACAGAATCATAATTTCAGTGGCATCATCCTCTGCACTGATTAGGGGGACTCGCTGTCCCCCACCCGTACCTCCCCGGTTCACAGCTCCATGTCCTCTAGTTGATGAAGATTTATTATCCATGAAGATGGTCCAGTCTTTGCTGCTCTTTATTTGATATGTTAGAACAGCTAATTGGAATTTGCACCTCACAGCACTGAAAGACTTTGTGAAATACATTTTTGCTTAAGATTTAACCAACTATTCTGTGATGATTGCCTGGTACCTGAATGAAATAAGAGGTGTAGAAAAGTGACACTGACATATGGGAGGCATTTTGAAAAGGGAATTGGGTTGTTAAAAGATCACCAGTTCCCTTCTGTGGACTTGGTTCAGACAAAGCACTAGAACATGAAAACAGAGCAATGAAAGTCACGGGAGGGATTGCTGGGCATAACACAACATCCAAATGCTCTTTCCCAATTTTTCCTGACAACCCCAGCGCTCCGCTGAATTTTGAATTAAATATTAAGCAAGGCTGGGATGACTTCCCCAGAAGTAACCAAGTACCATCTGGACTCATTACATGCTGTTAAATGCCAAGAAGCGGCATATGAGGAGAGATTAATAAGACTGGGACTTTTCAGCTTGGAAAAGACACGACTAAGGGAGGATATGATTGAGGTCTATAAAATCATGACTTGTGTGGAGAAAGTAGATAAGGAAGTGTTATTTACTCCTTCCCATAACACATGAACTAGGGGTCACCAAATTAAATTAATAGGCAGCAGATTTAAAACAAACAAAAGGAAGTATTTTTACACACAACGCACAGTCAACCTGTGGAACTCTTTGCCAGAGGATGTTGTGAAGGCCAAGTCTATAACAGGGTTCAAAAAAGAATTAGATAAATTCATGGAGGATAGGTCCATCAATGGCTATTAGCCAGGATGGACAGGGATGGTGTCCCTAGCCTCTGTTTGCCAGAAGCTGGGAATGAGCGACAGGGCATGGATCACTTGATGATTACCTGTTCATTCCCTCTGGGGCACCTCGCACTGGCCACTGTCAGAAGATGGACTTTTCGTCTGACCCAGTATGGCCGTTCTTATGTACAGCCAAATCTTGGCAGGCTTTAACAATTTCTGATTTGTTGAGAGGTTGTATCTCAGCCATACCATCTGTGATTACTATGCTGAAAAGCCTCTGCTGGCATAAGATACTGGTTGTGTTGTTAGTAGGTACCGACTTAGGAAGACCATGCAAGATGTGAATTAGTTTGCTTTTTGTCTGGCACATATGAATCATTCCGTCACATTCGAACATCGATCATGGCCCCATGGAGAACTTGTACTTTCCCAAAGTCTCATGTAGATCAACATCATGCTGAGATCTGGACATGACCAGGAGACAAGCAAGCAATAACATGTCTGTGGTTAGCTCTGTCATAGTCCCTGCCACCTTCACTCTGACTTTCTTCTTTACATTCAAGCACGGCTTTAGTCTGTTCTTCTTGATTGTAGCCCATAGATTGATGGAGCCTTGAATAATTCTTTGGGTTTTGAAGGCTTCATACAAGTTATGACCCAAAGTATCCATTCAACTGACATTGTTAGCTATCTCATCACTGAAGACTGCTTTCATCATGATATTAATGAGCTCCAGTCCATCATACATGAATGGGTTTGCTTGTGTAAGTAAGCTCACCCTGAAGCCATTCCATACTCCTAATCATTTTTGTTGCCCCTTTCTGAACCTTTTCCAAGTCCAATAGTATTCAAGATATGGGCATACCATGGATTTATATAGAGGCAATATGATATTTTCTGTCTTATTATCTATCCCTTTCCTAATGATTCCCAACATTGTTAGCTTTTTAGACTGCCGCTTCACATTGAGGGGATGTTTTCAGGGAACTATCCACAATGACTCCAAGATCTCTTTCTTGAGTGGTAACCACTAATTTAGACCCCATTATTTCATATGTATAGTTGGGATTATGTTTTCCAATGTGCAATTACTTTGCATTTATCATCATTGAATTTCATCTGCCATTTTGTTGCCCACTCACCCAGTTTTGAGAGATCCTTTTGTAGCTCCTTGCAGTCTGCCTGGGACTTAACTATCTTGAGTAGTTTTGTATCATCTGCAAATTTTGCCACTTCACTGTTTACC